TTACAGCCGGGCCCCCTAATGGGATTGAGCTGTAAAAGTCAGGTACTGGGGAACGATAACTGGAGACTGATACTGTGTAAGGTTAGCACGTGACTGTACAGTTACAGGCAGTTTTAGAACTTCAGGATCAGGAGTAAATCGCTACCACCAGTAGGTGGAATACATAGGTACGTACCAAGAGATTGTTTACAAGATTGACTCGCGTCACAATGGTGAGCGAAGCATGATTGTATAGTGCGCGCCTCACATCTACACTTAGATATCTGCGACAAGCTCTTACACTAATTAACAAACACTTGGTGTAGTAGTATCCATGTCCTACGTTACACTGCATAACTGCCACCAAAGAGAATTCAGTATCATTCGTCCCGAGAGTTCTCATAGTTCCTGCCATAGAAAATTCTTGTGGACTCATTCTGGCCACACAAATGTAAAGTTACTGTATAATTTGAAACAATTGTGCATTCAGAAAGAATACAAGTTATAGTTTTATGAGCTCAGGGGGACGGCTCCAATACGTAACGGTTATAGTAATGCATCACGCTAAGCTGCAGCATTCTGCTGCGACTTTACGTGCACTGCACAGTCTGTTTGTTTGTCTGAGCAATACTTTTGACTTTGACTGCGCCATTTTTGAATGGTCACTTTACGGTTTAAATCAAGCTTTTGATGCTTCATGCTAAACGATACTCGTTTGGCAATCGCCTATAAATGTGACGTCATTATGTCTGGGGGCTGTAATTAAGATTTTATACGTTAGGTGGCCGAGCCTTGATTTAAGGTCCAATTATACCCAAATGTTATTTTACGAGCCTCAGTAACCACTTGTCTCAAGTTCGCGGGAGCAACCGCCGCGGCCGGGGCGCGCTACCTGACGCCGCGTAAAATATATTTCCTGCTGTTTATTGTAAAAATTGCAACAGTAACACTTTGTACGCCGTTTCCGATAAAATATCAAAGTGTTCCTCCACAATGGGTTCTAACAACCAACGTGGGAACGAACAGCTGTCGTGGTGTGTTTTCCCTCCATTCCAGATAAACTACAGAATATGTTCTTTTATGGAGTCGAGAAAATCTGGACAACTCAACTTCTATCTACGCTCAGAATAAACGAACCCCATAAAAGTAAAATAGAGCAATTATTTACAAGCAAATTACCTGAGAACTCGAGTTGTTGTATGCGCACGCATTACCTGCCCAAAGTGTTGTACTAAGGGAATGATGGCCGTCAAACAGATGATTATCTCACCACATTCACAATAGAGGGCGCTAAACGAGACGCCGTGTAATAAACCTAATCGCATTACGCGTAATCTTATTACACGGGCTCAGAATTAAACTAGAGTCTCGCGCGAGTAATTGAGCGAAAGTTTTTGAATAGACCCCCCCTCCCCGCCGCACCCCTTCGTCGTAGATTTTAGTGCCATCGCGTCCTTGGACCCTGAAAGGGAGACATTTTATATCTTTTGTCCAAATTTTAGATGTTGTAACTGCGGGCCCAATTATACATCCGTAATATCAGGAAGCTTTATTAACGAATATACCTTTATTGTTACGGACCGACAATTCCACTTCAGACCTGTGTTCCCCCTGCTATCGTCTTTTGCTATCTTTTACTGGTTCCAGAGAGAGAATAAAGTTTCACCTTTATTTCCGTCGGTATATTCATCAAAAGCGTCGACACAAACGTCACAAACTGAAAAAATGCCACGAAATCGTGAGCTCAGGTGTTATGCGCTACATTCAAATGCTTAAGGTGGGGTTCCCATACGTGCGACATCGCGGCATCTGGGAGCGACTGCAATCCAATCTGTCAGCTGAGGGACAGCGCGCCGAAATGAAATGTCGCGGCCGCGACGGAACAAATTCCTTCGTCACTCACTTCCTAACTAGTCTCAGAAAGCAACCCAACGAACTTCTCTTTGAGGGTTCTAATTATTTGTTATTTTTTTAATATTGATTTTCAAACTATTGGTATTTAAACAGTTCATGTTTATGCAACTGCGTCATGCATCTTAAAGTATAAACTAAAACTAAAAATAAATGCTGCACGGAAGATATGATTAATATGCAACTACAAGTCAATAAGGATAATAATTATGTAATAATGTACTTTATATTTATTATAGTATAAACAACAGACGACGCAGTACGTGGATGATAAGTGAGCAATGATAACATGTGGTGACATCGCGTGTGGAACGTACTTTAGCATATGAAGACATAAACTAGCGAGTATTCATAAGAAAATATATGTATTGTAAGAATACAGCAGTGTTTGGCCGTGGCGGCTGACGACGACTCGGTCGCCGCAGTGAGTTCACCGATTTATTGTTCAACAAGTTACGGAGCCTCTCGTTTGTAGGGATCATTACGTTTTCATTTACTTGAGTGCCGTTTTGAATGGCGTGTGCAGAAAGACAAATTCATTTTGGATGGCTGTAGCAAATTGTCGGCGAATTATTATAATACAGCGCGCTGTGAGATTGAATGTGTGAGTTAGTGGAGAGATGTGGGCCGTCGAGCAGTTGTCTGTTGTGAGTTTGTGTGGGAAGTAACTCGTGTATGAATGAATAGGGTGAGACGTTTGTACTCGTGTATTTGATTTACATTTGTTTTAGTACGTAGCCACAGGTACGGTCTGTAGTTCTGTACGCCTGCACCGCGGGCGGGAGATCTCATCTGTTACCTTACCGGCTGCTGTCTGTTTCGACCTACTTGCTAGGGTAGTTTCAAATTTGTTTTGATTAAAATCTACTATTGTATCTTAAATATAAAAGAAAATCGTCAAATATACTTTGGCATACAGTTGGCAATCCACAGTGATCACGTAAAGAATGTATCAGTAATATTGGCTATTTGAATATTGTTGGAGCAGCAGGTGTACTGTCAGCCGCACTCCGGCTGCTGGAGGACGGTGACGGATGGCCGTCTACAAGTCCGTTTTCCCTACAATCGCATTACACACAATACCATTTATTGTGTTTCTTCGCATCTTAGAAGGCGTTTGTACTATTTTTGAATTATTTTGATCGACATCCTTACTACACAAAGAAAGCTGAAAGTTATGAGGTTGTACTTAGTAGTAGAATATTATGTCACCAGTTATGGTAAGCACGATTACAACAGGCGTCATTATTTGTGCTCGTGTTACTCTTCATAATTCTAGGTATAACGAGGCAAAGTTAAGTCTAAATGTGTAAAGGTAGGTGCTAACAGATATAAATTCCGTCACAAATATTTGTAAGAAGCTCACTTGGTACGTGTGGCCAGAACCTGTCACAGCGACACACGCACTGTGATGAAACCAGTAAAAAAATAGTTCCAATACTGAGTTCACGAGCCGAGGAAATAAACGCGCCGCTGAATCATTGCGAAAATTGAAAGCATAACGCCAACATACATCTACGAAGGAAGGGGTGTGGGAATGGAGACGACAAAAATCATACAGAGGAATGTGAACTCTATGTAGCTAATCATAGAGTTTAGGTACCGAGCAAAATAATTCGTGATTAGGTTTGTATTGTGTTTATACAAGTTCCAATTGAATAAAATCATAATTCATTAAAATTACTCATATTAAAGTAGAAGTTAATAGTTTCGAATATCATTCAGCAGTGTTTAGTAAAAATTTTACCAATAGGTAAGCTACTTTTTATCATTTCCTCATGTTTAGGAACATTGTACATATCGAGTGGCAATATATAATTTGAGTGAACAAATCGTGAGTATAGTGTGACAGACCGAGCGACATCATCGGGTGGAAATAAAACCGCGTCAGTTTTACTAGTTCGTTGGCGTCCGCAATAAAAGAGGAGCCGGCGTCGGGCGCCGCGCGACGGAGGCGTGTGAATTTCCCACTTTCCCGATGAAAAAGAAAATAAATTCGCTTAGGCTGGGCGTTTTCTTCACATGCAAATTATTATTATTGTGCCAGTTTTGGTATTAGCGAGGTTTTTATTGCTAAAGCTACCGAGTTTTTCCTTTTTTACGGACCGATGGCGATGTATTTTTTTCAGTGTGTGCGCTTCGCGGAATCTATGAGCTGGAGCGATGGTTCGGGGTCTGTTGTTGTTGCTATCATAAAAGAGGTCGTTCTGATGTTGTCTGAATACACTTCCTGAAAACAATGTACGACGAAATAACATAAAATCCGAGATGTCATCCTGATGAAGAATTATAGGATCGTTTGAAAGTAAATCGAGTTTAGTGGTTGGTATTGTAACGTATAGTGTAACAGAGGATAGGGTTAATACTGTACTACCTAGTGCCTGCTACATACAGGCGGCCGGCAGAATGCACGAAGGTCGTATTCACTCTGCACAGTCGCTGACAACATAACTCGCCTTTACCCAACACGATGGGTCCCGTGTTTTTTGAAACCCATTACTTATTAGCAGTAAACGATTGTTATTATTTGACTCCAAACATTAAAAAGAAAAGAAAGGTCTTAAAATTAGAACGCAATAGCTATAAGTAATAAGGTCAGCAACTCACATGCATTACATGTATGTACCTAGGTACAGGATATACACAGGTATGTGTGTGAGTAGAGGGCGACACCTCTGTTTATGACGGTCTCGATATACGCCCGGCCGGGCAGGCGCCGGCGTTCAACACCCTGTATACGGCCACATAAACTACAGATTTTCAGATGTCTACAATGAGTGAATGCTGCTCGTATTTATCGGAGCCTTCGATTCCAGCCGCCTTTGTGTGGAATGTTTTACGACAAACACGTTCTGTACTAGGAAGGCAAAGTTAAAACACGCGTAGGCGCTCATAACCTGAACTTGTTTTCCCGCAAGTAAATCAGCTTCATGTTTTAATTTATTCGGATGTTACCTTTACTCGCAACAAACTCCTGCGAACCGCGAACAAGAAAATGTAGGAAAAGAACGTGGTTGGGATGAAACAATGATGGCGCACGGGGCCGCGGTGTTGCGGGGCGCAGACTCGCGCGCCGCACTCGGAGCGCGGCTGAATTTCATTAGCGTAACATGGCGCAGTGGCGCGTGGCTAAAATTCGTCTAAACATTGTTGTCCAACAATCTGTTGCTGGCGGTTTGATGCGAGCCGCGCACTGCCGCGCTGTACCGCGCCGCCCCGCCCCGCGCCGCCCCGCGCCGCCCCGCGCCGCCCCGCGCCACGCCGCGTGCCGCCTACGCAATACGGCTACAAAATTATATACTGAAAATGGTTGCAACTAGACACTATTAAATATAACTTTGTGGTTTTTGTGGAAAGCTCAGTTTCCAATTTGTAACTTTACAATTTTGAAACAAGGATATAGTATTAGAATTAGTAACTATATATTAGGATATTTTTTGTCGATAGAGGACAAATGTAATCCCTCTAGGTATCCGATGTAATTAATACAATTGTCCACCTAATTATCATTTAACATTCCATTTAGCCCGGGTATGCGTATCGAACGTCAGCGCGGTATAATTGACAATCTAATCAGCATCCACGCCCCCCCCCAATACTCAGTAGGTGCTACATCTGTCAGTAATATGACATTTTGCTTTTAATTAACGTATTGCGGTGTCACGCGACTTGCTGATGTTCGCGCCGCGTGTTTGTCCAATTAAATATACAGTCATATTCGACACTTTGATACATTACGCTTTGTTCGAGTTCCTCTCATATTCGTGGTGATTCTATTTGCTATCGGTTGTTGTTTAGTAATTCATAAAATAAATCTTGTAGTTGTGTCGAATCCGAATGATTACACACATTACTAAAACAACAGTAACACACCAGTCGCCTTTGTCGCCGTACAGTAAAATAACCACAAGGCTTTGTCAAACGTATACAAAATGGTTGACGCAAATGACGTCACATTTGCTTCTCTGAAACGACCCGGAGTGTATCGTGGACTGGTGCTCCTAATAGGGTTTAAAGCAGGTCTGAACAAAGCGGTCGCGTCATATTTCGAGACAATGGGTACGTTCTGGCGCGGACAACGCGGCCATTTGTCAAACCCTGCGCCCCCTCGCCCCGCGCCCCCGCGCCCCGCACCTCACGACTTAAGACTTCAGTTTCGGTAGCAGCAACCCTAAACGTCTTATCACTGTGAGAATTAGGCCTCTTACACGCAGACGAGTTTGTTGGTGCGATTTGTTCACTTGATAATAAATGTATCCTCACCGTTACCATCAATATCGCCAACAGAATGATGCCTCACAGCTATATATAAATAAATAAAATAAAATAAAAATAGCCTTTATTCAACAACAAAAACATGCTCACAACATTACAATTGTATTCTAATCAGTATTTATTTCATTTGTTTAATTTCATATATTTGTCTATATACATAATTTTCATTTAATTATTTATTAATTTTAAATATTATCTCTAAAATAGGCAACTAATCTTTTGTGGATGTCGCCTCTTTGGCGTAGGCCTCCAGCTATATATGTACCTATATATATGGGCCTGCACCACTCGAGCTGGTTTCTTATAACATTTACGCCTATTGTAAACAGTATAACAGGTATTTACTATTATCTACTATCTTCAAGCAATTAAAAGTACTTAACTCAATAATTAAATCTTATTTGAAAATCGTTTCTGGACTTCTTGATGATGACATAAAATGATATTGAATATCTTGTGAAGTAACCAGCTACAGTAGCCGCATATCAGTTATACAGTTTATCCCTTCACAAACTTCATCTATGTAACGTTCTCGGTTTTTGCTTATAATTTATTTACTGTAATAGCTATTTATGAATTCAAATCATTCACAAAAGTCATTAAAATTGCCTCCGAACAAAGTTTACTCACTGAACCAATAGTGAAAGTTTGCAGCTAGCCGCACTCGGCAGTGCGTACAAATTTGTTTCAAGTCGAGCATGTATGTAGCGGAGTAATAGAGCACAGCGCTTTAGGTTCGGGATCTACAGGCGCACATAAAGCTAGAGAGCTCGGCAGTACGAGCATCCTCAACGAAACCATTTACCACAACCGTGAGACGTGCCCGTTTCCGGAGCCCGCACTAAACCGCTCAGCCAAGCCCAGCTGTATGCGTGACACGTCGTACATTGCGTCCTCGCATCTGACGCTCATCAACGGCGGCGGGCCATGGCGAGTAATGGGTGTCGCGCACACAACTAAAGTCAACACTATGTCGTTAGTTCCACTGCCGAGCCTCATGAAGACGCCGGCTACTTATGTACCCCTCGACATTCTACTCTATTGTTTTAAACAAACCACATTGCCCGCTGTGTGAGCATCTCCACTCTTGTTACAATTGTTGGAGGAACAATGTACGCGGCGCGCAGTGAGCGCTCGGAGCGCGGCGTGGGGGATGAATGTCTCGTTTATCTGTATGAGCTCCTTAGTGTTAATAATGGTGGCAACGTGTCAGCGGAGTGTAATTAAACGCACTTTTATATCGTTCCGGTCTCTTTACGGAGAATTTACTGGACATGAGCTGACTTTATCGCCCTCTTATGTTGCTGTAAACACTCGGCTTATACTGACGGCCGCGGCGCACCGACCTCTTCAGCGTACTGATTAAAACATACGTTATTATTATGGCCAACTTTACTGGAGCTCGTAAAATGTTCGTAAGTGAACAGTAATATTCAATAATATCTTTTTTGTCTGCTGCCATACCACTGATAGAAAAATCAGTAAATAGTGGCAAAAGAGAGTATTTAATGTTATCGTGTAATTTCAGGGTGATTACAGCGGGTATTATTCACCGGCCGACATCCGAGTCAATTAGCAATCGTTGGCAGCCGATCATCCGCACGGAATACATAAATTAACAGTTTTACCGGCTCGGGCCGGCGCGGGACGGCGAACAATCGTATCATCTATGACACTGCGGGGAATGTTCACAGCTCCTGGGATACTGGTACTTTACGAACTAAGAGTGATGCTCGCTAACTCCTTGTCAGCGGGTGATCATACCACAATACATACGACAGCTCCTTATGGGTTGAACACAAGTCTGTCTCACTGCTAGAATAATGATTTGCCATTAACATGTAGCGGTTGTCAAACATGTCGAAGTCATGGCCGGCTGCAGGCAGTATGTGCAGATATTTCTCTAACTATTAATCGTTTCGGCTTACAGCGCTCGCACGATGTTGGACATGAATTGGAACAAAATTAAGTTTATTTTACAGATGTAATTACACGTGATCAGTATTGTACAATAAATATAATAAATTGGTACATATTGAGTATTTAAATTAATCAAAGAAATAACTACTTAAATATTTTTATAGCGGTACTTCATCATGGAACAATTTTCCAGTGGATCTTGAGATCTGCTCGCAAATAGTTTCCGTAATGAGTTGGCTTTAATGACGACAAAAACTAAACGAGCTTCAAGATAAATAGCGCTGAGTTGATTTAGATTTCATGTTTCTGTTGATGTGCTGCACCACTACTCATTTATACGGGATTCTTGGCACAGTGATAAATGCTACATGTATAAATATACAAAATATTTTTAAAGTAGTAAGAAACCCAACTCCATCCGCTCTAACAAGTTTCAACAATGATTTAAACGAGGTTATCGACAACCATTATACTTAATATGTTATTTTTACATAGGTAATGTTCACAGAACAAGTTGAACCTGGCAGCTCATTGTGAACATAGCAGTATTGCTCGCTGCGGTGCAGCGGCGTGGCGGTGACGGCAGATTGGGCGGGCGGCGCGCGCGGCACGCGTCCCTCCGTTTTTGTCCGTCCGGCACGTACGCTTGCCAAATATAAAAAAGGTTTACCACTTCGCACGCTGATTGCGTACCGCCTGCTATATGCCCCTACTATGAATAACCAGCTATATCACATGTTTCCCCGCATGAGTTATAATATTTTCAAAGGGCTTTCCTTGACTGAAAACCCGGTCACCTAATGGTCGGATAAAGCTGGCATAAAAGGCCGGATGATCTATTTAGGCTGCTCAAAGAAATGAAAATCATGTTTTTTATAAAGTAGGCGTTAACACTGACACATGCTTGCTTAACATTAATGTTTATTAGCAATGCGGTGCAAGTTGTAGTGTCTGGTCTCAGTTATACAAGTGCCTATCATAATTTGGTCGATTAAATCAATATTGTTATCTTGTTAACCAACTTCGTGGAACGTAGTATGTGGTAAGTGGTAAATATTACACCCAACATATGTAAGTACATAGTTTGCGACTGATCCTAATATCGTTATGCAAATAAATGCACGCGAGTGTGCAGTGACATGTCATTTAACATTAATACAGCTAGAGTCACCACAATGCGGTCCGTATAAACGTGAACTTTGCTAACCCTGCGCACGGAGCTATGGTGTTTTGTCATAAATCCTATTCACTATTTCAATATTAGCCGGTCGAAATGACCCGGTAAGTCGGCTCGTGTGATTAATGGTCAATATCAATCGTTCCAGTTCGAGGTCAAATGAAACTGAAGTCAAATAGAGACCTAGAATTCTGTGATTTAATGAAGAAATGTACAAATAGCACAGTTGTTGTACATGCCACGTGGCTGGAACATGTAATTACGTACTTAGTGCCTCTAGGCCACCTGACAATATACACGAAGAAAATTTAAATTATATTATTTACAATAGCATCTATGTCTATGTTTGTAAATGTCTTTAAAATGTACTAGTTACTCCTGCGCGGTTTCACTCGCTGCTTGGCTCCATTTGATTGTAGCGTGATGTTTTATAGCCTGTAGCGCTCGGGAACATTGTAGCTATCAATAAGTGAAAGAATGTTAATAGGGGAATCCGACTAGTGGTTTCAAAAATTACTTCCTACATACAAACTTAAAAACTTACAAATTTTACTTCTATATCATATTAGTATTAGTATAGTTTTTTTACATAAGCGTACAAGGTTAATTTTCGATATTAAAAGCCGGAATTGACAAAGTATTATCAAATGGATAACAGTACACACACAGCACGGCGACAAGTAACCCGTCCGCCGCCGGCCGCCGGCAACAAATCCCCTATATCGTTCACAGCGCCAACATGAGCCACTTGTAAAATTATATCAATCAAGTGGCTCGCACGACAACCTACTAATGTCAACAGTGTCCCACGTTTCCAAATTTCATTAATCGCTTGTCCCGTCCCGCGGGCCGGGACGTGCAGTGTCCCGCGTCCCGGGACATAGCAATTATGCTTAATGGATGTATTGTGCTAAGCAGACGCGGTTTTGTCCCCGTATGATAATGGAT